AAAAAAAAAAAAAAAAAAAGGAAGACCTTGGAGAGTTGATTTATTCACGACACATTGGGGTTTTATCACATGCCAGGCTTTTTGCTGGGCGCTGGTTATACTGAGATAAATAAGGCCCAGTTGTCACCCGTTGTTACATGGCAGAGTGACGCGTGGGTGGTTCCCGTGCAGTATGTGTATAGTGAGCGGCAGCCTGTTGGCAGGAGGCATGTGTGGGGAGGTGGGGGACACCGCAGGTGAGCCCGAGAGTTGGCCTCCCAACTCCCGGGCGTGTTCGGGACCGGCCCAGGTGGAGGAAACGGAGCGGAGGCCTCCGTGTGGCCTGAGTGCTGCTGGAGGCGTGGGAAGATTGAGGCGGCAGAGAAAGTCCGCGTTTTGTCGGGGAGCTGGGGCTCCATCAGCAGGACCCGGGGATCCCCCGAAGGCTTGGATCCAGGGGGTGCCAGGGGGTTTATGTCTTTCATCTTTTGGAAGGTGGTCTCGGGGTCTGGAGAATGGAAGGGATGAGTCTAGCAACAGGGAGCCGTTAGGCTGTAGCCAGGCTCCAGGCAGCTTCTGAGCACCCACTCGCCGTTCCCTCTGCCTGGATTGCCGCACGAAGGGTTTTGTCATCCCCCCCAGTGCTGAGCGTAACTGCTACTGGTTTCCCCTTGTCCCTGACCCCTGCACCCTCCTCCCGGCACCTTGTTATCTGAGTCATGGTCCCTGGCCTTGCCTGTAGTCATTTTAGCCATACTGTCCTCGTTTGCGCTGTCTTCTCCCCAGATTGTAAGTTTCGTGAGGCGGGGGGGACCTTTTCTTGTTACCCTCTGTATCTCCTGTGCTTAGCACCCGGGAGACAAAGTAAGTCCCTGTGTAGTGGGGGAAGTAATTCATGCAGTGAAGGTTTCCTCCGGCCTCGCTGAGCGGGGGGCATACTGGGCTTTGGAATGCAAAGGTGCCCATCACCGGGGCCCTGGCTGTCAGAGCCCTTCTCTGCCTGCTGCTTTGTGGGGGGCCTGCCTTCATTCTGGCCACCTACCCTAGGCCCCCTGGCTTCCTGTCAAGTTTGCCTGGAGCCTGGGGTCACCCTGCCTTTCCCCTTATGTTGGGTGGCCTTTCTCATCTGCTTCCTTCCTCGATGGCATCCGGTGTCTGGGTGCTGCTTTCACTAAATAAGGTCTGCATATCCCAGCCAGCTCCTCTGAGAGCTTCTGGGGGCCCACAGCCAGGGCTTTCAGTGGTGCACGTATGGTCTCCAAAAAGGCAGTCTCCCAGCCCTCCCCAGTGTTTTGGGTCTCAAACTGGCCTGTCTGGTCCCATTGTTTACACTGAATGTAGGGACAGGGCTTGGCTGGGTCCTAACTGGGGGTCCCTCTCTCCAGTTTCCCCTGCTCTCTGTTCTTTAGCTCTCCAGGCAGAAGCATGCCTCTGACCAATCCTAATCCTGGATTCCCCTTGATCTCTCTTGACCTGCAAGCATCCTGGTCCTTTTCTTCTAACTCTGAAAGGGTTACTTGTTCTCTCTTGGGGTTTGGGAAACTGCTAATGGGCTAAAAGAAGACTGCCCTTTGCGTCCTTACTGTTTTCATGTGGTCTTCCTCTCAATGGCAGCAAGGCCACCTCCAAGGACAGAGGCTGTAGCTCCCAGTGAGACTCTGGGATCCTAATGAGACCCCCTCCCGGACTCATAGCTTTGCCCTTCTCCCATCGTGTGGCTTCTGTGGGCGCCTCGTGCTTTCCCATGGTTCAGTCAGAAGCACACATGTCACATGGCTCCAGGCCCACCAGGCGGGGCTTTCAGGGAGTGGATGACCCTGCCCCTGAGGGCAGACCTGGCACCAGAGAGAGCTGGTGGGCCTTTCTCCCATCCCTCACATGGTCCAGAGCAGCCTCTATGCCCAAGCTGGGAGGTGGGCATGGAAGGACGAGGTCTCAGTGCCCGGCTGTCGCTGCAGGCACCTGTGCCTCTGGGCTCTCCACCCCCAGCCCCCTTTTCTTCGGAAGCCCTCCTCACAGTCAGCTCTCAGCCTCCAAGTTAACTATACTTAAAAAAAAAAAAAAAAAAAATTCTAGAATAGCATTCTTGAGATGATATCCATGTAATGTGGTATGAATTTAATTTTGATCCTTTTGGTTTAAATTAAGATCACTGTTAATTATCTCTTTAAGTGACAAAAAAGCTTATTGAAAAAGAAAACACAGAAGAGGGCTTCTGTTTAAAGGAGAGGAAGATAACACTTTGGGGACGTGTGTCATGCTTTTCTGTTCATTAAAAAGTCATTTTAGGTTACAATTAAGAACACTTTTTAATTAAGTTTTGCATGTAAGTATTTATTCAAATTAATACTTCTGTGTGAAAGGCACAGTTCTTAGTTCTTCACACACATTAACTCATTCAGCCCTCTCTAACCCCAAGCAGTTGGTGTTACTGTCCCCATTTTACAAATGGGGAAACTGAGGCACAGGGCGGTTAAACACCTCCACAAGAGCACACGGCTGGTGAGTGGGAGAGCCAGAAATCATGAGCCTTGGGCTCTGAGATTCTTACTACCAAATTATGCTCTTTTCTGTGAGGCCCGGGATTCTCCCCCAGGGACACTGTGTCCTTCAGGGGACAGTTGGTGATATCTGGAGATGCTTTCTGATCCCACAACGATGGGATATTGGCATCTGGTAGGTAGAGACCGGGGATACAGCTAATCATCCTGCAGAGCACAGGACGGTCCCAGCAGAGAGCGATCTGGCTGAAATGTCAGGAAACGCTGGCTTGGGTGTTTTTTGTCAAAGTCAAAAACACGGGGGTGACAGTGGTTATCTTGTTTTGTTTTCTTTTTTTGTTTTTGTTTTTTTTTTTAACCTTTCAGGATAGAAAAAACACGTTCTGCGAGGATTTTCCAGCTCCTTTGGAAAGCATTTATTCACTCCCCCTGTTTACATCGGGGCGGCCAGGAGGGCAGGTGCAGGGCTGGGTGTGTGAGGGTTCAGGGGGACGCACGCCTGCCCGAGAGGGTCCGCGTTCCTCTCACAGGGGCACTTTGTGGATTCTCGAGGGCAGGTCTTTCAGCAGCTCGGCTCAAAGCTCATTTGATGCCTGCCTGTGGGATGGAAACTACTCGTAACACCAGGCAGAGGAAAATGATCACATCTGTAAACTTTTATTGTTTAATTTTTTTAATGTTTTATTTATTTTTGGGAGAGAGAGAGAGAGAGAGAGAGAAAGAGGATATGAGTTGGGGAGGGGCAGAGAGAGAGGGAAACACACAATCTAGAGAAGGTTCCAGGCTCTGAGCTGTCAGCACAGAGCTGAACGTGGGGCTCGAACCCATGAACCTCGAGATCATGACCTGAGCTGCAGTCGGACGTCCCAACTGGCTGAGCCACCCAGGCGCCCCCGTAAACTTTCTTGAGAAGCAGGGGGTAGGGCAGGGCAAAGAGCGGAGCGGCGTGTGTCCTTGGAGGTGTCCGTTTTGTCTGCCGGCCGCTCCCTCCATTGTGCGAGGAGACGCAGGGGCTGTGTCGGCGGGGAGGGGCTCGTCCTTACCGGGGACTCAGGGTCTCCCTTTCTGCAAGCAGGAGTTCGTGGAGGCCGAGGTACAAGCAGAAGTGGGTCGTTGCTGCTGATAACCCTACATTTGTACAGTGACTTCACTGTTCAGTCGCTGTCACAGGTAGAGCGTCCCTTACCTTTCCAGTGGCTTTGTGAGGTGGCTGTGGGGCAGGGAGACTGGCTGACTGCAGGCATGCAGGCACCCGAGTCTTTGGCCCCGAGTCCAGTGTCCCCCGTGACCCTGCACCTGCCACTGAGCGTTTGCAAAAACAGACCAGAAGCCGGCATTTCCCACAAAACCCTGCTTGCTGGGTGTCACATCTTCCAGTGGATTCCTGCTCTGTCTGTTTGTTCTGTTGAAAGCAATTGGTGGGGAAGGAATATTGAGATTTTATCATCTAGATGTCAGTGATTAATCATTATTTTCTACTTTGGCATGCGTATGTGAACTTTTAGGGAATCCAGCCTCTCCTTTGAATGCCTCTTACAACATCCAGCTGCTTCTCTGATGCAGTAATTTTCTGTTTTTCCCGACACTTCATCACCTGTTAACAGGTGTCTCTAGTCTGTTGTTGGCTCACGATTTTAATTATAACTTTGTATGCTGTTAGATAAAATGCCAAATTTACCACAGAAATGAGACTAGTTTGTATATCTGATTTGTTTAAAATAATAGGTAGCACTTTTGAGGCTTTTTACACGCAGGTACTGTGTTCAACCCTTTATGTACCTTTCCTCATAGCATTTCCTTGAGATCAGTTCTAGGGTTCTTTCCATTTTGCAGGTAGGAAAATCGAGGTTCTGAAGTTGAGTAACTTGGCTGGGTGGGCAGTTAGGTGACCTTTGGGGCTATCCTGCCACATTCTTAAATACCTCTTGGGAGCAATTAGGAGTCAGTGGTTAAAACACTTTGAAGTTGCATCTGTGGAAAGAATAAATACTTAAGATTCATATTCTATCTAATGATCTCTAAATATCGGCATTATATGCTAGGCTGAAGTCTGGCCACCTATCCCGGAATAAAACGAAAACAAATGCAGACCCCTTGTGACGCTCTGAGGGCTTCACTGAGTGAGCTTCCTGGGGTTGACCCACACCTGCTCCCAGTGCCCTTCCCCTCCTCCTCTGGAGCAGCTCACAGCGCCGTTCTTTCCGGAGGTTTCCTCTGGCTGCTGCTCTTCCCCACCCAGGGAATTGGGTCTGGTGCAAACAGTAACATTTATGCTCTGAGTATTTCTTTTCTGAACTCTGGCTTTACTACTCTTGAGAGACAGTATTGTTTGGGAGGGGGAAAAAAAGTTAATGCAGCTTATTAAGTTTTAGAAGTGTAACCCTTTACTTACTGTTTTTTGTGGATTTTTAACTTTTTTTTTTCTTCACAGTCACACTGAAGAGAAGACCCAGTGGGAACACCCGAAAACCGGAAAAAGAAAACGAATAGCGGGAGGTCCGTATGTTGTTCTCATAGAGCGAAGAACCTTGTATTCAAAGCATAAATGACCTAGGAAAACTGTCACGGTCAGAGGGGTGACAGGCCGCTCTCATTCCTCGAAGGTTCTTTCCTTGCTCGGAGGAGCTCGCGGGACGGGGTGGAGGAGGCGATGAGAGTGGGGTGGGCTGGCGAGGGTGATCTCTCTCGGGCCTTCTGGAACGGCCACGCGGCCTGAGTGTGGCCCAGCGTGGCTGCTCGTCGGTGGGCCAGGCTTCGGGGTGGGGGTGGGAGGGCGTGGCGCCTCCGGACTCTGGCCCGCGTGTCCGTTCACCCCACCCCTGCCGCGCACAGACCTGCCAGCCTTCCTGTGTTTCAGACTTGCCGTATGGATGGGAGCAAGAGACCGATGAGAACGGACAAGTTTTTTTTGTCGAGTAAGTGGCTGTATAGAAACTATTCTCAGTCATTTTTCTTTTCTTTTAAAGCGTACTTGTTTATTTTTTTTTTTAATTTTTTTTTTTTTTTTTTTTTTTTTTTTTTTTTTTTTTAACGTTTATTTATTTTTGGGACAGAGAGAGACAGAGCATGAATGGGGGAGGGGCAGAGAGAGAGGGAGACACAGAATTGGAAACAGGCTCCAGGCTCTGAGCCATCAGCCCAGAGCCCGACGCGGGGCTCGAACTCCCAGACCGCGAGATCGTGACCTGGCTGAAGTCGGATGCTTAACCGACTGCGCCACCCAGGCGCCCCACGTACTTGTTTATTTAGCGAGCGTGCACACACGCGTGTGCGTGTGTCAGAGAGAGAGGGAGAGGGGATGCCAAGCAGGATGCACGCTGATGCCCCGAGCCTGACGTGGGGCTTGTGGGGCTTGATCTTACTGTGAGGTCCTGGCCTGAGCCGAGATCAAGAGGCGGATGTTCAGCCGACTGAGCCACCCAGGCGCCCCATGTTTTGCTTCACAGTAGGAATTTTTAGTTGTGAAAGTAATATACCTTGAATATAGAAAAACATGTAGTATATATAACTAATCTTATCAGTAGGAATAACTACTTTTAACAATGTTTTGATTTATTCTCCAAGTCTGGTTTCTATACACGTGCTTTCCTTAAACTAGAAAAAAGTAGGGAGTGTACTGTGTGAATTATTCAGTAACCTGTTTTATTCCCATGTAATATCTTGTGAGCATTTTCTCATGTATATATTTTTCAAGACAGTGGTGCTTGATGGCCATGGAGTCTTATTATTATTACTATTTTTTTTTTACAGAGATACTGTGACTTATATTATCTACTGAGCATTGATGTTGTTGAATTCCTGGGTAGTTCCTTGGCCCCTTTCCTCTGAGCCTGTCACCGTGATGTGCTGGTATGATGTCCACAACCAGTGCTGGGGTTGGGCATGGGGCAGAAAGCCCAGGTCCCTTCCCATGGTGCACATGGTTTCACCCTGGCTTCTCTCAGGCTCCCAAAGGGAAGTCCGGGAGGAGCTGGGAGAGGTGTATACATGTGGCCCTGGCTGGTGGCCCCGTAGCACGTTGTGGCCTCTCACACTGTGCCCGTCCAAATGCCTCTGCGGCAGCTCTGGTTATAAGTAAAATGAAAGTTGGCTTCTTCTTGGCTCTCTCTACTTATAGGGTGATAAGTATAGATTAAAAAACATTTTTTTTAATGTTTATTTATTTTTGAGAGAGAGGAGAGTGAGTGGAGGAGAGGCAGAGAGAGAGGGAGACAGAATCCGAAGCAGGCTCCAGGCTCTGAGCTGTCAGCACAGAGCCTGTCGTGGGGCTCAAACTCATGAACTGTGAGATCATGACCTGGGCCAACGTCAGATGCATAACTGACTGAGCCACCCAGGCGCCCCATAGATTTTTAAACTATATCGTTTTAAGTGCACACATATAGTACAAGTAAACTTTAAGTCACAAAATCTCATCTATTCAGGAGAGTTAGTTCTTAATGGTTTTTAAGATACTTTGAGGTCTTTTGTCTCCGATCGGAGAGAGTACATTTAAAATGTAAAGAAATAAATCTGTTACATAGGAGTAACCTAGTAATCCGTGTGTACCAATGTATTTTAATTTTGTGTCTATAAGACTTAGCTCAAAGCCAGATCACAACTATAGTGCTTGAAGGAGGTATGAATATGGTCTTAAAATGAAAATCATTACAACTTCAGAATGTTCACACTTTTTTTTTTTTAAATATCATTTTGAGATTTCTCCCTCTCTGCCCTTGCACAGGGTTCAGAGATTTCCCTGAAATCTATGGAAAAGAGTGGCTGACAGATCTTACAGCCACATTTACATGAATTAAAAAAAGAAAAAAATCCCAAAGCTGCCTCCTTTTTTGAGATCTTAGGATACAAGACAGTGCTTTCTGTATGCTGCAGCGTATTTTACAGGCACTTCTGAAGAAAAGGATTTGATGATTATCTTTCCAGGCAGGAATGTAATCCTTCTGGAGGCCAGAAGACAGACTTAAATGGATGCCAGTTCTTTCCAGGGTTAAGAATAAGCCTTTTTAGTACATGAAAAATGGGGTTTGCCTAGTCCAAACTATAAGATTATCTCATGTTTATAAATGCCTGGGTTCACTGCTTTCTCCTTTGCAGCCATATAAATAAAAGAACCACCTATTTGGACCCAAGACTGGCGTTCACTGTGGACGATAATCCTACAAAGCCGACCAGCAGACAGAGATACGACAGCAGCACCACCGCCATGGAGATACTCCAGGGCCGGGATTTCACTGGCCAAGTGGTTGTGGTCACCGGAGCCAATTCAGGCATAGGTAGGCCATACCTTACGGTCGTTGTCGTTATTTTTTGTCCCTTAAATTTTAACCGTAATGAAATCTTTCGTAGTGGTTATCTAATTTAAAAATGCGTTGATAGCCTTTTCTGCTATCGTTCTGTGAAGACGCTGGCCTCTTTTTAAACTGCACTGTTCTCATGAAGGCTGCTGGGGGCTGCCGGGGGCTGCTGGGGGCGGGGCGGGGGGGGTCGGCCGTGAATTCTCTGAGGGCTGGACACTCAGCACAAGGTGGTGGCCATTTTGGTTTTGAAGGACTGGAGACAGCCCGTTCCGTGCGAGGGCTCCCGACCCGGTCTGTGTGGTGTGAGGACACATTTCAGCTACCTGGGTTTTTGAAACCAGAATTGACTGGTAATGAAATAGGGGGAGAAAGGTTGCTGCAGGGTTCAGCTGGTCACTGAGTTCCTTTGGGAACAGGATCTCGTTCCTCTGTGAAGCTGGGGAATTAGTCCTTGTCTTAACCTCTGGATTAACCCTCTCAACTGCAGTGACGTCATAGGTAGATGGCTCCAGAGGGTTCTTTCCTTAGGATCAGGGGCTGCCGGAAGGAACCGTGGCAGAGCAGAGGCTTGTACAGGAACTTTCCATGTGATTTTATCCTTACTTTGTTTTGATCCACTAACATCAGTGAACGTACCTGTAAGAACGAAACCGCTCTGAGTAAGGATTTGCATCCTCAGGGTGATGGACGCAGATGAAACATAGAATTACCTTTGGGTGTCTTCTGGCAAGTTCTCTCTGCCCTTTGGCCCCCGGTCCTCCCACCCCCGCCTCGTTGGCCACCTCTTTCTTAAGCTTTGTCTTCTCACCCTTTGTGCACCTCCTCCATTGTCTCCTTGCTCTGTCCTTCTTGATTTTCAGTTACTCCTTCTTGAACCTCCACAGACACCCCCCGGCAGCATCAGGGGGAGCGCGGGAGGTGAAGATACGTTCTGTATAGTCGAGCAGGCGATAGTCCCAGAGCCGAAGTCTTGACTATGCTTGTCTATGAAGGCAAAGAGGCAAATGGAATTTTTAAAAATTGAAAGGGAATTTATTTTTTTAATTTTTTTTTTTTTTAATGTTTATTTATTTTTGAGACAGAGAGAGACAGAGCATGAAGAGGGGAGGGGCAGAGAGAGAGGGAGACACAGAATCTGAAATGGGCTCCAGGCTCCAAGCTGTCAGAACAGAGCCCGACGCGGGGCTCAAACTCACAGACCGTGAGATCATGACCTGAGCTGAAGTCGGACGCTCAACCGACTGAGCCATCCAGGCGCCCCAGAAAGGGAATTTATTTAAAATCAACTCTCAGGCCTCATCGTAGGCTCAGAATATCTTCTGAACTTCTGTATTGGGGTGAATTCTATATAAGCATCATTGATGTGGAAACTGATGATGATGCTGTGCTAAAAATAATGGCTGGATCCTCAGTCACCCAAGAAGCAATATGTTGTGTTGATTGCCTTGACTGTTCTTATGTGAAGGTGTGGACCAACACGGTGTGGAGTAATTAAGAAAAAAATCAGTGCTTAAGGAATTAAGTAAAACCTCTTTTTTTTTTATTTAACACTCAGTTAACCAGGAAACTAAAATATCTCATTCCTTCACTCTTCTGGCTAGACAGTTTTTTCCTTTAATCAGTAAGGTGCGTGACTACTGGCTATTTTCCGTGCGAGAGTTCAAACTTTGTTCTGTCTGACGTCAGATAGCAGACCGTTGGGTATGGCTAATGCTCCACCAAAGATTTGCAGCATCGAAAGCATCAAAGATTGTGATCCAGGACTAGTTGAGTTGGTTCACAGGACACAGAGAGCTGTGTTTCGATGGCTCTGTAACCATCGTAAAGGAGGGGATTCTGCAGCGGTGAGAGTGAATGTGGTGCTCGTTAGAATGGACCTTGAACCTCTTGAAGACTCTTCCTCTCTGATGTCCGTAATCCACTTGGTGGACACTGCAGGCAGGTGCCTGTGGTCCAGTTAGCAGTGGTGGCGGATCCTAAAGCTCAGAGTGGAAGGAGTGCTGGGAGGGCCTTGGGGCGACCAGCCCTTCCTATTCAAACACCCTCCTCCCCCCGGCTTCTTCTCTAGCTCCAGCCTCCCCTCGGAAATTGCCTTTAGTGCCGACACCTCAGCCCCTCTCTTCTCCACTCTTGGGAAGCTTAGGTCCAGGTGGCGCTAAAGGTTTTTATGCTTAGTTTTTGAAATAATATCGCACTGAAAATTCCGAGCAATCAAATCCTTGCAAATAACCTTCCCTCGGCAGCAGTGGTTTCAGGCTTAAAGAAAAGAGGCTGAAGAGAGGCTCGTGGCTTTTCATCATCCCTAAGTTCGCTTTTGTATCCCGCGTGGCTGCCTTAGAAAGCGTCCTTGCCCAAGTAGGCTGTGGCTTCTAGATAAAGTCCTTCCTTCTCCTGAACTGTGAAACATGTCAATTTATAAATTGCTATCACCACTTTTCAAATGAAATAACTGAATGCGGGGTGAATTGAGCATCTTCATTTCCAAGACTTGTGGGCATTCCGGAACCATCTTCCATCAGAGCTTTAATGGTGTTGGCGTTCACTTTCCTCTTGCCGAAATTTGGAGCCTGCCTTACTGTGCGTTAACTGTCCGGCCTTTACCCTTGTGGATGTCTGTTCTCTTTGGAGTAGTGTAGGCTGGAACGAAGCAGAGCAGTGTTTATTTTGGGAGCGGTGACTCCTTGACTAAAAACGTAGGTAACCCAATTTGCTTTGTAAATGCTGATTTACAAACCTGGTATTTCCAGTGACTGTTTATTTTTTATATTTTTAAAATTCTCCACAAGGCATTGCCTTGTTGGAATTTGCTCTCGGTGAGGCTCGCTCTCTCTGATGGGCGGGGATGGTCGGGAGGTAAGAGGGGACACCTCTCCTTGATGAACTTCATTGAGGCACTGGGAGCCTGCCCACCTTGAAGCGGCCTCTTAGCAGATTTTGTGTGATTGTCTTCCTCCTCTGGCTGTGAGTGATACAGAGCTATATTTAGAGTTTTTCGAATTTTCAATAGTTTGTAGTACTAAGTAAGGCATTTGGAGGGATTCCCACTTAATTCAGCTCAAAAAGATCAGAATGATTCTGGGAGATAGAAGGATTCTGAAGAGATGTCGGCACAAAGCATTATGCGTTCTTGAAATCTTTGTTTTCACACTTCACGTCTGTAACCAGGCATTGCTGCCGAGGCATTTCAGCTATCTAGACTCGGGGTTGGCAGACCCTGGCTGGTGGGCTGAGTCTCACTGGTGTCTGATTTTGTGAGTCAAGTTTTATCGGAACACGGCCACTCCCGTTTGTTTCCATTTTGTCTGTGGCTGTTTTCGTGTTATCAGCAAAACTGAGTAATCACGGTAGAGACCATATGGCTTTGCAAAGCCTGAAATATTTACTCTCTGGTCCTTTACAGAGAGAGTTTGCCACCTGCATTAAATGATGGTAATCCCTTTAACATGAGGTCACCCCAACATTCTCTAAATTAGCCACAGTTTAGATAAAATTTAGATACACTGATGCCCGCTCACTGTGTGTAACTGCTGGGGACATCCCGCCCGTGGCTTGCACCCCCGGCTTCAGCTCTGTCCCCCTTTTTTAGGGAGCTGCGAGCGTTCGCAGCATTCGGAAGCTGTCTCCTCGGAAACTAACGCTCTTCTCTCCTTGACCTTTGTCCAACCAGCGTTCTGAACCCGAAGACCTTTGTAGATTGAGAGCTGTAGCTTGGACCCCTCTCTGTGGAGATCAGCCTCTCAGTGCCCCGGGGGAAGCCATCTCTTCACCCAGAGCTTCTTCTAGCAAACCAAGAGGCCTGGAACCCCACAGTCGCGACCGCTAAGCAGTAGACACGGGGGAGGAGCTGCTTTCCGTTTGTGCCCGGCGTGGCGCTGAGCGGGGAGGGTCGGCCGAGTGGCGACCCTCTGGACCTAGTGACTTGTTTGCTGGCTTCGATTTGGTAAAGCCGAGTGGACATGGCTGCCGCCATTTAACGGTGATCGTTAAATACACACCTCACCGGGAATCTCGGGAGAGGGGATGTGTTAGGCTAGGATTTCCCACCCTGGAGGACCCCATCGCTGCTTTTCTAGACTCAACCTGGCAGTCGCCCTGATTTGGCTCTGCGTGTAGATGGTTCCGTCCGAAGTGCCACCTTCTTGGATCTGCGGGCTGACACGTGCCCGTCAGAGGCAGGGTTCTTCCTTCCAGTGAGGGGTTCGCTGAGCACCCAGTGTGGGACAGCGCCCTCCCTGTTGATGGTCTCCCGTTAGCAGGGGCTTTTGTTGGGACTCACGCACTCTGCTGCCACGAGCAGGCAGCACGGTCATGTTTAAGGAGTGAGACCAGATTTTGTCAAATGTCCACTTAAAAACTAGTCACAGCTATGAGCAAACGAGATGCTTTCAGTGTGATGTTCATTGGCAATGATGCTGAAAGTTTCTCCTTGCGGCCTTAAACCGCCACTAGTTAAATTTGATTTTTCAATCCCTTCCGGAGTTGATTCAAGTTGAAAAGTTCCTTTGACCTTTTGAACCTTCATAACATTGGGCTGCATCAGATGTCGTGACCTTAGATCTAGGATAGCCTGGTCTGCTTTCGATTTGTGAGCCGCAGAACTCATCACCAGGAATAAAACTTTTGTTCCCTGAAGAAATACTGGCTGGCCACCTTGGTATATACAGTGAAGTGTTTTAGGACTTACGCTTCACTTTCTGTTGGTATTTATGTTATATAATCACCTCCCTGTGTTTTATTACAGGGATTCTGATGATGTGTATTTATTTAAATAACGAAATTGATCCATTTTTAGATAATGGGTATGCTCAAGCTGTGAAAATCCCCCCTAAATTTGTTCTCCTAAAACAAAATGAAGGTATCAGATTTTCATGTTGGAATCCCAAAATGACATTAGAGTATGACATTGAAATTGCTCGTTTTGGCTTTTGAGAGCCCGTATTTTAAAGCTTGGGGTCCTGTTCCTAAATCATGAGTTG